AAGTAAATATGTGTAGTGTTGAATGCATTCCTGTTTCTGGATCATTTGGGGTGAAAGCACCTCAGATTCACGCAGCGTTTTATGTGTTGATTATCATTCAAAACATATCTCTTCAATTTTAATAAAAACCAGGCTGTCCTGTTGATTTCTAATTGGGGGAGGGGCTTAGGTGGCTGATGCCTAAGTGAGGGTCACGTGGATGATGATAACACAGATGGGCGTTTTCACTTCCCGTCACCACCAGTCACACGGGCAGCACCAGCCCCCAGAACAGACAGCCCCCCGTTGGCCAAGCAGCTCAGGATGACAGAGTGTGGCAGGCTTGCTTGGGGCTTGGCCACACATCCAGCCGCTTGAAGTTAACGGGCTGATGAGCAGGTTGTGCACTTCACCAGGCTTCTGTAGCTAGGAAAGATCAAAGGCAGCGTTTCTCCAGAGTTTGCAGCGTCATGTCTAAGAAGAAATGTGGGCTGCACTGTAGCAGACCTGGTGGGGCAAGAGGTGGAGGGGAGACTCGGATGTTCCGTGGGGATAGCGCATCTGGGATTCCGCCTGTGAGCGCAGCGGGCCACGCCAGAGACACTAGAGGACTCGGAGTGCAAAGGAGCGGTGCGCGACGACATAAAAGAGGCGGCTAAGAGACACAGCTGCTGGTGAGGGGCCGAGATGAATGTTCTCCAAGTGTCCGTTTCTAGTTAAGCCCGTCCTAGAGTAAACAGTAAATTTAGAGAAATGGGCTTCTTCGACTTGACGGTTTCTGGACTGTATCACTAGGATAGTTTGGACGCCTAATACTGAATTCTATTTTTAGCCCATCGGACTGAACGCAGGGGCTCATGTGCTTGGCACCAGTGAGGAATTTTCCACTCATCCCCCATGTAGGGAAGCACTGATCTGACACTGAGGCCTCGAGGAGGCCCTGCTTGTATTTCAGCCCTCCCACTGCATCATCACTCCGGACCTGGCTTAGGGTGGGGGAGGGGGGATGGTGCATGAGAGCCCTCGGAAGGGAGTCTTTGGGGCAGCCTCACTCCAGATGTTGAGCAGAACCTCAGGGCCTGGCAGGAAGGCTGCTGGGCTCCGTTGAGCCACAGTGGCTGGAAAGATGACTCTCTGAGGCAGGGAGTGGAGAGTGGAAATTCCCTTTAGGTTCCTTTCTTGCCTAAGGAGCAGTGTCCCTGAAGTCTCAGTTGTTGACTCATTCCATTGCAGGGCAGCATCACATCATTCTGGTTTGGTTTGCAGAAAACAAAACGTTAATGTAATTGATGCAGAGAATTCACAGATTAGAAGAGTTGATATCATTTCAAAATCAAGCACTTAAGGAAGGAGGGCTGCAGCCAGACTGCTCCGGCTGGCCTCCGCGAGCAGAGCCGTGCCAGCGCCTGCAGGAGGAGCATGTTGGGAGGCCATCGGAAAGGGCTCGAGAAAGCTGACTGAGGAAAAGCTAAGTAGCTGCCCTATCAGATGTTACCGCCACACAGAGGCTAGAATGGAAATGAAGTGCAACTGACAAATCCACACCAAGGACAAAACACAGCGAGGGCCTGGGGTGGGTGGGGTGTGAATGCAGCCAGGCAACATTTCCATTGGAACAGTCATCAGGGGGTGGCACTGCCTCTACTCCAGTTAGACGGGGAAAGCTTCGTGGTAATGAGAGCTCGGATCCAAGCTGAGGATGGGTGCAGTTTGGATCTCGGTGCTGGGTCTAGGTAAGCACGGGACAGAGGGGAGCAGCTCCTTGTATTAGTGTTTGATAATGAGTGTGGAGCCTGGGTGAAAACTCCTGCTTGGCCACTTTCTGGCTGGTTGTGCAGGTTACCTGGCCAGTTACCTAAGCACAGAACCCCAGTCCCGTCCTCCAGAATGGGAAATAAACCCCAGGACCTGCTTGACAGTATTTGGGGGAGTAAGTGAGCAAAAGGGCTTACCCAGCCCTGCGCCTTGGCGTCTAGGAAGTGTTTGGTCGAGGTTGGTGTTAATACTGACGTAGTGGTCAGCAGACCTCACCCAAGCTCGTTTTCCTTGACATTGTAGCCACCGGGGTTGTTGCTTGCCTTTGTCTATTTGATGACTCTGAGATCACTTGGTTTTGTCACCTGTGCCTGCAGAAGGTTGGGGGTGAGGGGGGCCTAGGTCTTCATGGATCGTCTTCCTCTCTGCCTCTCGAAAGGGAGAAGGTGCAGGGTCTCTCACCTCCCTGGTTTCCCTCCTATTTCCCCGGCATCTCTTCTCCCTTCCCATCCCCTTCCCTTTCCTCTCTTGCGTCTTCTCTTTCATTCTCTCACTTGCTTCTCCTAAAGCAAAGATGGGTGGGCAGGCCTGGCCACAGATACCAGCGGTGGCTTTTCATCTAAGTGACTCAAGTCTGAAGATCTTCATGAGCATCATTACCGTCTCCAGCTGAGGCCTGTCCTCCTCGCTGGACCTTCAAGCCACTCCGTCCCCAAATGCCTGATTCTTCCGTGACTGGAAAGCGGGGTGTGATGGGTTGTGACGCAGGATCCCTCTGCACGGGTAACATCCACCCAGGGCTTCGTCCCAGGGCTTCTGCAGGCGCTGAGGGAAATGTTGGCTTTGGGTGAAAGATTAGAGTCAGTTTGTTGTTTTTTGTTACATCCTAGTCGATCCCTGCCTAACCTCCTCTAAGTCTTTGCAACTCTCAGCGGCCGAAGAGTGAATCCTTGGTGATGCTATTTTTGGACCAATGAGGACAATATTTCAGTTCTCTGGCTGTGCTTTGGAAATTGAGGATAGGAGCGTTCAGAATTATTCTTTTATTTATTTTTTTTAAATTTTATTTATTTATTTATTTATGGCTGTGTTGGGTCTTTGTTTCTGTGCGAGGGCTTTCTCTAGTTGGGGCGAGCGGGGGCCACTCTTCATCGCGGTGCATGGGCCTCTCACTATCACGGCCTCTCTTGTTGCGGAGCACAGGCTCCAGACGTGCAGGCTCAGTAATTGTAGCTCACGGGCCTAGTTGGTCCGTGGCATGTGGGATCTTCCCAGACCAGGGCTCGAACCCGTGTCCCCTGCATTGGCAGGCAGATTCTCAACCACTGCGCCACCAGGGAAGCCCCAGAATTATTCTTGATAGTAGAAACAAGTTAGTTTTTTCACTAGTTTGAGATTATTTCAGGGTAAATACTGAAATTTACCCTCTCAGGAATACCAGGTTTTCTTAATTTGTAGTAACAAGTCAGCCGGCTGTATTATGCTGCTGTGAGACCAAGCACCTATGCCTGTGATCAGTCTGACTAGACAGTTTGCCTGTTCTGAGTTCTCTAGTCTTTGAACTTAGAGTAGAATCAAGACAGAGCCAGGAAGGTGCTTTAGGAAAAAAAAAAAAAAAAGCAGAGAACAAGACATATGCCAACTGTAAACACATTCAGGCACTCAACATGGAAAAGCACCTGTCATCTATAGGATGTCATCCAGTTGCAAACAAAATCAAAGGAAACAACAGAGTTGTAGTAACAGCTAACACTTGTATAGAGCTTGTCAGTGCCAGGCACCGTTCTAACTGCTTCACGTACGTTAATTTATTTAACCCTCAGGACAACCCTGTGCCATGGGCGTGGCATCGAGGCAGTGTCACGTAGTGATTAGGAGAATGTACACTTTCAGGGGTGATTTCCAGCCTTCAAATTCAGGGAAGGCGAGGATGCTATGGGCTGGGGTGAGGAGGGAGCTCCATGAGTGGGATGGGGGTCCACTGTCCTTCAAGTAGTGTATGGTTGCTACATTAGTCTTAAGAGAAGCATGACTTAATCATTGTTAATGCCTGTGACTAAAATAGCTCGCAGCTTATTATGCAAGTAGAGTTTTGCCTAGGCATGAAATTCTAACATTGCTTAGCAAATGCCCTTTGGATAACCTGAGACCCTGCCATCAAGCCAAAGTAGCACACGTGTCACCGGGGTCTAAACGCAGCAGACACAGAGACAAGATCGTGACAGCTGTCTGTTCCCATTCGGCACAGGTTGTCCGGAGGTGCTGACATCGAAGTCAAAGCAAGTTTAAGAAAGAAAGAGCATTCATGAGGCCCTGAGGATGTCTGTGCTAGATATTTGGTACCCATTTTGGCCAAAATTCCCTCTTTGGAAATGTTTGCTTCGGGAGTACGTTCTACATAATGAAGGAGCCTTTCCTTGAGGGCCTGTACTTTTGGCACCTGTCACTTGAAGAGAATTTATGTACCACATCTTTCCTAGTTATTTTTAGTAGTAATAAAAATCACGACAAATGTAAATATTGGTGCTGACTCATGTCTTCAACTCATCTATTTTATGTCATAGTATGTATTTGATTTGAAAACAGCTAAGCAATCACTTAGTGACAAATGGCGTTCTTCACAGTAAGTAACACTTTGAGTGTGAGTTTTCTTCGTCTTCCTTCTACCGATGCAGAGAATGGAACAAAACACCTTGGAAACTTAAGTTTTGGTGTTGGTCTTATTACAAAGAGAAATGTTTCATGTTAGGTTTTCTGCCCATTATTCATTAGGTAGGTAACAGTGCGTGTAATGGACAAAAGGGTAAGTTTAAGGGGACAGCTGGTAAAATAAGCTTCTGTCCCTCAGAGAAATATGGTATTTTCATGGTCAAAAATCTCGTAATAGTGACAATAATTAAAAATATATAATAATATATAACAGTAGATTAATGTGTAGGACATAGACATGCAAAGAATTACTGTACGTTGAGGTATACAGAGTGCAGTACAGGTATACAGAGTGCAATACAGGTATACAGAGTGCAAAAAGCACAACATGGGTATTATTAATATTATATGGCAAGCTTTGCGATTTGAATGCGATAAAAAATGAGTGAGTCAGACTTGGCTTTGTAAGTTTTTTATATGTTTATATAATGAGAAAATTATCTCCTTAAGGGCTCAACTTATAAATATTTGCTTAATATGATTCATCAATTAAACATGTGAAAGTGCTTATTTAGCCTAAAACGAGGGGACTCTCGGTATCCATTTTGTTTTTTCAGAATGAAAGTGCCCTTGTGAAAGAAAAAGAGCTGTCAATCGAACTTGCAAACATCAGGGATGAAGTTGGTAAGTAGGGCATTGACAATGAGGAACGTAAAAAGTGTCTTTTTCTGCTCTGTGAATGTATAACAAAAGCAATTATGTCTCAGGTAATAACCAGAGCACACCTGCCTGGACAGAAGGAATTATCATCCCCAGCACAGTGGTGGGTTCTTGTAGCCTTGCGGGGAGCTAGGATTTCTGTGTAATGTCTCCATTGTTATACGGGCAGCTTCCTAACAGTTCACGGTGGAACTAATCAGGCTTGAGTCTGCTCCTCCCAGATGGCAGCACATCTCTCTGTCTGCCTTGTGTGGGGTGACAAGCATCCCTCCATGTCACACCCCACCCCTGGACAGGCACAGCTCCAGCAGCAGCAGCTCAGCTTTGGTGGGTAACTGAGGTGCTCCCTGTAACTTGCTTCCTGCCACTGTACACCCTGCCGTGAAATACTCTGTGATCTAGAACACGAATCTGGATGGCTTAGAAAATGCTACGGTTCATGTTGAAACTCCTTCTCTTTGTCTGATACGATGGTGTAGTTCTGGCTGAACCGCAGGACACCTTGCCAGTGACAGGAAGATCCCCAGACCCTGGGATGTGGTAACCATCGCCCCGCCCTCTGTGCTTTCCCGAAGCTTCTGAGTGCAGCAGGAACCACACGGGGATCACGCTGGGATTTTGTGTTTAAGCCTTACTTGATTTCTGCATTAGTGCTAAGAATAGAACAAGAATTCACCTGCCAAATGAAAAAGCCATGGGGGGAGGGGAAGGCAGCACCACGGCCTGGGCCCTTCAGCCCAGCATTCGGCCCCAGAGGACACTTTAGCAGCGAGTTCCTGAACCACTGGAGAGGCTGCATTTGTGAGAGGGAAAGACGGGAATATCAGGATCGTCTGTTAACCGTAAAGTCATAAATTCTAGTGTCTCGACCTGCAGGGTATTCCTTTGAAGGGAAAGGGTATTGAGCTTACAAACCAGACTTCCCAGTGATCCTGTAGAGAGATCATCAGTCCTGTCTTCTTACCCCCCAGCCTTATTTGGACCTCTTATCAGCTGAGTCTGGGGGGTGGGGTCACTGGAGGGGAGGGGCCAGGGGTGCGGTTCTGAGGGGGAGATGGAATTTCTAAAGACTGTAAATTTGACAGAGAAGAAAAAAAAGAAGCTGCGAAAAGTCAGAATCCTTAAGGGGCACTTATACAGATCCCAGAACAGGGCTGGCCTGTCCCCCACATTTAAAAATTGCTGCTTAAAATTCTTCACGACCATTAAAATGCTGCCCTAAATTCTACCGATACCTGCTCATAAGTACCCATCAGCTTTCTGCACCCTTGATGTGAATAAATTCAATCAAAGGTCTTCAGCCTCCAGCCAGAATCAGCTTTGCTGGTGGTTCCCAGCCCTGGTGCGTGTTCGAATCACCTGGAATGCTTTTTAGAACATCGATTCCCGGGACCTTCCCTAGGGCAACAGAATCAAAATCTTTGAGGGTGAGGCTGAGGCATTGCTTCATTCCCCAGGTGTTTCTTAGGTGCAGTTTGAGAATCACTGAATTGCGTTGAAGGAACAGGGGTTTTGATTTGGATCAGGGACAAGGCCAGGGAGTGGGAGGTTCCTGCAGGCCAGGGCTCCGGGCAGCAGGAGGGGCCCAGGCAGAGGAGCCAGGCGGGTGAGGGAGGGTGCCGAAAGAAGACAGATTCCACCTGCTTTGATCTCACCCTTAGGGTATTGGCCTGGCTCCCGGGAAAGGGGAGAGAGGTCCCCCTCTCTTCTCATCCTCCTTCCCTCGCCTTTGCCGGTCAAGCGGGGTGTCCATCCTCTTAGTCCGCTCCCATCTGGATTAGATGAGCTTCCGGGAACTAAACACAAAAAGTAACCCCCTGGTGTGTTCGCTGACACACTTCACATTTACAATACATTTCCATTTGTGACTTCTCTGGGGGAGCTACCACAGAATCTTCTAGAAGGCGTGTAGTTAGAATCCCTCTCAGAGATTTTGAGACGTGTCATCCCACACTGATGGAGAATCTCTGACCATAGTAGTTTTTAAGTAGGAAATTTCTGGCAATTGATTTACAAGTAAACTTTGAGGACATCTCCAAATAAGTGGTGTTTTCTTTTTTTTTTAAATTAATTTATTTTTATTTATTTTTGGCTGCGTCGGGTCTCTGTTGCTGCGCATGGACTTTCTCTAGTTGCGGCGAGCGAGGGCTACTCTTCGTTGTGGTGCGCAGCCTTCTCATTGTGGTGGCTTCTCTTGTTGCGGAGCACGGGCTCTAGGCATGTGGGCCTCGGTAGTTGTGGCTTGTGGGCTCAGTAGTTGTGGCTCACGGGCTCTAAAGCGCAGGCTCAGTAGTTGTAGCGCACAGGCTGAGTTGCTCTGCGGCATGTGTGATCTTCCCAGACCAGGGCTCAAACTCGTGTCCCTTGCATTGGTAGGCGGATTCTTAACCACTGTGCCACCAGGGAAGCCCAAGTGGTGTTTTCTGATCCCACTTCGGACATCAGGTGTGTAGATTTTTCCACATGGAGAACACTTGCTGGGTGTTCAACAATTCAGTTCAGTTTTGACACTAACTCTCCGAGTGAGTGCAGACCCCACAGGTGAAGGGCCAGTCCCACTAGACTGCAGGTGCCATTCCTAAGTCCCAGGAGCCTCTTATACTTCTGACCAACTGGCTGTAAATTCAGGGGTTCCCACAACCCCTCCGCATAGTCAGTAATTCGCTAGAATGACTTGTACAACTCAGGAAAACACTTACATTTACCAGTTCATCATAAAGGATACAACTCAGGAACAGCCAAATGGAAGAGACGCACAGGACAAGGTATTTGGGGGGAGGGGGAGGTACGGAGCTTCCACACCCTCCCAGGACAGGCTCCTCCCCCAGCTAGCTGTGTTCACTGACCTGGGAGCTCTCTGAATCAAGAGATTTTATAACCCCTTCTCCAGCGTCTCCTCTCCCTAGAGGTTGGTGAGTGGGGCTGAAAATTCCATCCCTCTAATCACCTGGTCTGTCCTGTGACCAGCCCCATCCTGAGGCTCTCTAGGGGCCCCCCAGTAAGTTACCTTGTTAGCATAAACTCAGAGAAGGAGCTCATCATAAATACAAAGACACTCCTGTCACGCAGGAAATCCAAAGGGTTTTAGGAGCTCCAGGGACAAAAAGCAATGTCTTATTCTACCACACCTAGCCAAGGTACCTAGCCAAGGCTCTGCCCAGTTATGGAGAATGGTTCCTTCATTTAACAAGCTTCTGAGCACCTTTATGTAGCAGGCAGCTTCATAGCATTTCAGAGGTTATCCAGGTCTTAATGACTGTAGTCTATTCACCACATTTGTGAGATCAGTAAACTGAGACATGGTCAGAGATCTTGGCTAAAGTTGGAACGTCTGTAAGAAGTACCAAGAAGAAAACCTTAGTTCTCCTTAATCTCAGTCCATTCATTCATTCAACAGATATTTATTAGGTGCCTAGTATGTGCCAGGCACAGGCTAGGCAGGGTCACCATGGATGGTGATAGCAGTCATACCTTGCAGGGGGCGCCCCTCTGAGTGGGGGCTGAAATGCACCCACATTGCAGCTGCTCACCAAGCCCTGGACCCCAGCCTGGGGTTGCTGCCACCCACAGGAAGGGGTCCTTTTTTCTAATTTGCACAAAGGCACCATGTGGACTAGCTATGACCTGGTGCCATATACGGACAAGTCAGTGGCGGATAAGGCACAGCTCATGTCCTCAAGGAGCTTACGATCCAAGACTCCGTGCAGGAGGAGCTATCTGAGATGGGCCTGTACAGTGACTGAGACTCGGGTAGATGCATGTGGGAAGGGAAAGATCACAATTATTGAGCACCAGCTATGCCTGCTGCCTCCAGTGAATGTGCCCTGGACCTATAGGTGCCATGACCATTTGGGGGCATTACCCATCCTGCGTACCTTTGGAAAGGAAAACCCATTCCTCCTTCCATGGATTAAAAACACTTTTCGCACTTGTCACTTAAGAGTTATAAAACACTCTGTCATAAACTAGAATTAGCTACTCTTCCCCTTTGAGTGTTTGGGGTTTTACCAGTTTTTGCTATTACGCTACAATGAGTGTACTGTTTGCAAATTACTTTTCTCCTCTTGTGTTATTTTCTTGGAATATAATCTCAAAAGTGTGGACCAATAATTTGGGTAGGATTTCACATTTGTCTTAAACTCATCTATATGTGCAGTGTCCTGGATATTTATTCTGTAAATCACTGCACAAGATTATGGTGGATTTAATCTCAGTGTAGCTAGGGTTGCCTTATAAGAAGGGAATTAATCTCTCTCTCTCTCTCTCTCCCCCTCCCCCCCTTCCTCCCTCTCTCTCTCTCACACACACACCTGAGAAGGGGCACGTAATTGCCAGTCATATGCCAAGATGTAGTTTGGGATGGAGCTTTTTGTGGTCCAAGGGTAGAGTCCCTGTGGAGTCACTGAAATTTCTGTCATCTGTGGTATTTGTATCTCCTATGAAGACAGGGATCTCTAGTCATCCTCCTGAAAGCTTCTCATCTCAGGTCACCCTCCAGGGTTGATGGCTCTTGCCTTGTCTTTGGAAGTTGGCCTGAATTGGGTCTATCCTTGGAAAAGCCTTTCTCTAGCTGTATTGGTTGTGGGATGAAAGGGCGTTTCGGATCTCCAGGAAACCAGAATCCAGCATCACATCCAGGGAAGGAGGAGTAAAGATGCTAGAAACATATTTAATATATGATTTTTTAATCACATCTTAAAATTTCCCAAAAAGTACAGTTATTAAAATGTGAGCCCTGATTTTTGGATAAAGTGGCATTCTCCAAATTTGAAAGTCAAATACTGGATCCTTGAAGGTTCATCCTTTACATTTGTAGATGCTGAAATAGATTTGTAAGATGTTCTTCCCAGAAGCAGATTACTTCCTTTTGAGACGTTATGCTTCAGGTTGTTGACCACCATCAGGTAGATATTTATGGTCTTCTGTCCAGCAAAGCTGCCTTATTAGAAAACCTGAGCTATAAG